AGGAGCATGATGATCAGAAGCCTACGCCTGACGGATGTAGAATTCTAGGTCAAATTTCCGGCAACCGCTACCCAAGCGAAGTAATTTAAAGAAACCTACGGGCCGTGAAAAACCGATGGCAGGACGGCGACTATTAAAGTGGATATACCTAACTTCCCGCGAACTAACTCAAATACTACGGCCAATATTGACGAAATAGGATATTCAGGTGGCCATGAAAGAAGAATCAACACTTTTCACAAGTCTTCCGACGCATCATGAAAGGGTAGGCAAATTGGATTGTTCAGGAGTTTACTGCATATCATGCGGCGGCTGCGAATAGAAATATATTGGCGAAACAGTGTGAAAAATTGGCATACGAATCAAGGAACATCAGAAGCTATGCAGGAAAATGGATACCGAAAGATCAGAACTTGCGGAACACATCGCATTTTTCGGTGCTTACTCTGAAGTATAATAAGTATCGAATAGTTGAGGTAGGATTAAATTGCATAATTCGGCACACGTTCAAAAATATGCCCTGTTCCCTGAGAACCTATTCGCATGGATGAAACGGTGAGGAGTGGGGACACAGGGCAGTGACAAATACTTGGTCATTATTTCTTGGTATTATTACTTTTATTAGTAATTGTAATATTAGTAAGCTTTAGTATTTTTGTATAGCCATAACCTTTCGCATTCACTTTGTTCTGATTCATTTAATGTGGCACCAGTCAAATACGATTCGTTTGCATTACAATAAGTTTGCCCTTTTACTGGAGGCATGATTTAACTAATGCTGAGCTTATTTATATTTGGTGTAAAAGTCTATAGTGAAGAAATATAAGCACGCCCATACACATTCAAATGTACATGCAAATAAATTACGCGAAAATTGATTAACATTTTTTGCTAGTGATAGCAGTAGTAATAGTGATACTAGTATTACTTAGTATTTCTTCATTCCATTATGGTCGTAGAACCTTTGTTTCGCTTGTCTCTGATTGTTCCAAATTAATGAGGTACCACTTTACTACAATTCGTTTGTGTCGGTTTTCACATCATTCAATCTGCCCTTTTGCTGGTTGTGCAATATTTTCCCCTCGAATATAATCATATCAAATGCATAGAAAAGAATCAAATTTATAAACTCACTGAACTTCTTCTTGACGTTGTTGCCTAATTCGATTACTGTCAAGCCCAGCAATTTTGCTGGAGAAAGCCAGACCTGCTGCTTTTTGCTTATCTTCCTAAAGGGTCCACGCACAATTGTTCGTGAACTTGTGCCTATTACCGCTCCCAAACTTCGGTTGGCCCGGTGTGTCTCATGACCTGCTGAAGCATAGCCAATTCTGGGCATGACCGATAAGAAAAAGGAGAAATTGAGTGAATTAGCTGTCCACTAAAACGGTCATCGTGTAATGGTCAGAAAAAGCGTCATCTGCCATCACGACAAGGCCAGACGGCATAATGCAAATAAAGGACCAACTATAATTGATGGGTTCAGATTAAAGACTACTCACTTATCAAGCAAGCTTACTTTGTCTAAGCTCCTGCCAACTTTAATCAACCGGTGGAAGTGTCATTCGAAAAATAGAAGCCAAATGTTGCATTGCCTTTATTTTTCACCGCAAAGGCGAGATGCTTTCGTGGAAATACTATTTTAACAGTAAAAACTGATAGACATTCATGTTCAATAATGGAATATCAATTTTTGGCTGGCTCTCTAACTAATTGTTTCACATTTTAACTAATACGCCTCGTTTTATTCCGCATCGGCTCAAGCGTTACGGTTTTGTTTGAGGATCTTGCCCTACTTCGAGCAAAGTTACCCTTTTTCCAAATCATGTTGGGGATCGTGCTATTTTATTCTCTTTCCCATTTCATGGCGGCCGACTTGTAGCTTCCCAAAGTAACACACGACCACAACCGATACTCTACATTCTTCCCTCACTCTGTCACATTAACTTGCCTAGCAGGACTTCATGGAAGTTTTAAATTTGCCTCAATTTGGTCTCTAGGGGCAATTGCCTTTTGCATTTTAACGTGTGAACAACTAAAAATAAGTCATACTAATACTCCATGTATAAGGTATCAAATGTTTTCAAGTTTCATCTGACTGCCTGCGGTAACCTTGAAACGATTCCAGACTACCTTATGGCAGGGAAGCCCTAAGGATCATTTTTTAAATAAATAAAATCATTCATTCGAATGACGTATGCCACTTATGATTCCTATAACTTTTAGTAATTTTGATACAATAAATCTAGCAAAA